TGGAACTTGAGTGAAATTGCATACCCTGTTTATGACAAGAAGCTCGAAAAACCATACCCTGTTCAGCGGATCATCCCCGTATAGACAATATATTGGAGCACCCCCCCCCCCCCCCCCCGGGAGCTTGGGCTGCAGGTATCAATGGAGGCCTCAAAAATACAGAATCTAAAAATAAAATATTACGAAATTTGATTTTGCTGAATAAAACAAATCCATAGTTCCGAATTCGAATATATTATGTCAATCGCTTTAGTGCAATTTTCATGAACATGCGAACTCTGTGTCTGGGAGCTGCATGCTGAAATTTAGATTTTCGCGGCCGTCAGTCAAACCTAATCAGTCGGCACCTTTTATATGTTTGACTGGTTGTGGCGAAAATCCGAATGCAACTCGCAGACGAAGACTTACAATACAATATACAYTTTTACTCACATTTCCTTTTATGTTAGATTGCATTATATTATATATTTAGATCATTGAAGAGAAAGAAAATACTTATTTGGTCAAATAAATAAAGCTAAATATAAGTTGTAATGAAAGGAAATGCCTAGAGCCTAAATATAGTTTCCTAGTTAGACCCYAGTTCGCATGTTTAAGAAAATTGCAGTAACTTGCGAATGAAAACTCTTTATGATTATTAATAATTATTGCCATACAGATGTGGAGTTTCTTGTCAATAAAGATTAACGCCCACAACAAAACGTTTCGTAACGTTAAGGTTTCTCGTATGCTTAAGCTATAAAACTCTATAGGGCTATCTTAAATGATAGGCGGATTTACGGTTGAATTGACCTCTCTAAAGAGACAGCTAGAAAGATGGGATCTGAAGAGCTTTCTCTTAAGCCAATGAGTACAAGGAATCATCTGGGAAGAATGCCGACGGTTTGCCGAACTGTGGCCCACGCGGAGGGTGATATTTATGAGAGAATTATCGCAAGGGTAAATGAAAGAAGATTCTCGTACTCATTAATCATTCATGAGGAAATGAGCCAATCCTATCGTAGTATTTGGACCACGTAATGCTACTGGAAACTAAGAGAAGATTCTGTAGTAAATGGAACAAAACTAATTCAGTCCTAGGACTGAATTAATTTTGTTCCAGTTACTCCAAGTCGAATAATTAATGAGCATGAGAAGTCATTTCAAAGCCTCCAATATCAGACTGGACAGGATTTCAAGTGCAATTAGTTCAAGTTCTCGGCTGCGTCTCGGACTGGAACTAATTGCTTGGACTTGAAATCCCGTCCGGTCCTTATTGTCGGCTTTGAAATATTACATCAAGATGGAGTTCGGCGTGTACTTCTGGGACGGCTGTCTAAGTGGTGCTGCGCGGTGTATGTTGAAGGAACGCTACCACGAGAAGTTACTGAGAAAGACTTACAGCGAGACACGCAAAATTATGACCCTATTTAATATCTTCGCATACTTCTTTGCACGGACTTTCGTACGTAAAACCAACATATTTCGTATGGCAAACTTGCTGGTTTTAACAAATAAGGCGTGTAAAATTAAAGCTCGTTTGGTAGCCAAAAACTGCGTGCTGCATACGCCGAATGTAAATATGGCGACCAATTTAATTTCAAATAGCATACTACTTATGGCTATTTCTTATCCTTTTATTACGTTCGGCGTTCGACCCACTGAGACCGTCTCAACACCCCCCCCCCCCCCCCCCAACAAGCGTGTGAATTGTTGACATATTTTACACCTTATGCTCTTTTCGTATTCAACAACTAATCAGCAAAGAGCTTC